TTGGCTACTTTGAATGGGCGCAAAATGACCCTAGAAGTCGACGCGCCCTAAAACCCCAATCATCATCATCACTTCTTGGCTACTTTGCCAATTTGACTTCTTTGATGTATATCTTTACGTATATTTTGCCCTTTGGTTTTGTGTTCTTTTGACTCAATGTCGGGTCGACTTTAGATTAATCTGGTTTCTATCTCATTCGACTGCTTGCTGTTTTACTTTGTCTTTATTAGTTTTTTACTTGACGACCTACACCTGGAGGTACTACTCCCGTAAGGTCTACTTCTGAAACAATTACCGTTAGAAGAAGAACGGTCGGAAGGCCATTCGCTGTCAACACTTACGCTCGGAAACGTACACTCGGCTAGACCCGCTGCTGAAATACCTACGCTCAGAAGATCGACTGCGAGCGTAATAAGCTTGTGAAAAGCCACTGGAGATGTTCGTTCATCTAGTGATAACATTCAAGCACTGAGAGGACGCGGCCAGGAGTGCTGACCAGACCACGGAAGAATGGGCTTGGGTGGAATGAAAGCCGTCGTGACGACCCGGGGAATGGGAGGCCTGATCGTATGTATATGACGAGGCCAAATCACATCAGCTCAATTCGCCAGGGAAAAATCCTATATCCCACGATCAAAGGCAAAATCGCAACAGTCGAGTCGGAGAGTCGATCTTGACCGCAGATTCCTGGGAGGACAATTCTGAGGACAATTATTCACAACAGTTGGTCTTCCGAGAGTAGGTCATCCGGGCGTTGGTATTCTGGGAGCTGCTCTTCTGGGCGTAGGTTCTCGTAGCGTAGGTCTTCCGTGAGCAGCGCGACAGGCCGTCGCTCTCCGTGCGCTCGCCGGCGTTACCCGGACCCGGCGATCGGCCGCGATCGGCCGCGTCTCGTGTGAGGCTGCCGGACCGGTGTGACCGGCCGTGACGCGCCGGGACCATCGGTTCCTGGAAGTGTTTACGCCTCCTGCCGGCACCGCTGGGCCGTCTGGTGGCCGGGCCGCGTGTCGGCGCCCGTGCCGGCCCCGCGGCCGCATGGGCGTCCGCGGCCGCCGGCCGGCCCTACTCGGCCCACTATCTGATGCGCCGCTCGGCCGAGCTCCGCTGTTTGCGCTGCGGCGGCCCACTGGGCCTGACTGGTGATTGATGATGGGTCGCCTGACCGGCTCGGCGCCCGTGCGTGCCCGGAGACGGCGCCCCGATGGACAGGGTAGCCGCTCCGCTGATCTGTGACCTCAAGGTCGGGTGAATGTCGGGTAGTCAGAGTGGTGACTGAAGTCCTGTGTCCCTCATCCCGCGGTTCGCGATGTTACACTTGTGCTCAATTTTTGACAAAAAAGAACAAATTTGAGCCGGTTAGGGATCAGATCACGCTTACGAATTGCCTACGAGTAGGTTGAAGGGAAGCCCCGTGGCAGCCCCGGCACGCTTCTCCCCCGATGAAGCAGGACAGGCCGCGTGCGACGGCTCCCAGACGCCGTGCTTTGTTTAAACGGGCCCCCAGCGGCCAGAAGGGCGACACATTGCGCAACGCATCACTGTGTCGCAACAGTCGCGGACACGGTGGCAGCAAAAATCTTGCGCGAAATCAAGTAGCTTAGAAAAGCCGCTGCGGTATTCGTCGTATGTGAAATGTGGGCACGTGTTACAACCACCGGCGGGATAGTTGGGAGGTAGGAGTAGCAGAAAAACACACTTCACGCTGCTTCATTTTTTTCAGATCCGTGTGACACATGCCAACTTGATTTAAAAGGTGCTTGGTGTCCGACTTAAGTGCCGCGATACATATTAAGTCAGAGGTGCGTGTAAGATTCTGTAATGTATGGAGGATGTCATAGGATTTTTAGTTTTCCTTTTGGATCCGTCCCAATTCACAGCCACAGCCATAATCCTGTTCCGTCCCTTTCCACTCCATTGCATTCCGTCAAGCCGCAGTCCGCGTCCCTGAACCAGCGCCACTCTCAGTGGGTTCGACTGCCGTGCGCCGTCAGATTTGGTGTTCTTCAGTTCTGCAATTCAGTTGTTTGCAATTGTTATTTGACCGCGGCCTCTTCCGGCCGTTTATGAGGACGCTTGGGGAGTGCTCGATGTCCTCCAGATTTCAGTTGACAAGGACCGCACTCGTTTCATTTTCCGTCAGTCTTCTTGCGGCCGAAAGTGCTTCATTTAGCGACCACAAATTCTGATGACCTTTACATTCCATTTGACGTCGATATACCCCCATTGGGCCACACGCACTGGGCAGTGGGTAGCTATTGACCATATCACATTCAGTTTGCGCGTGGCGCCGCCAGCGGCCGTGTCTCGCGCGGCGGGCGGTGTGAACGACGGGCAGCGCCCGATTAGACGCGTCGGCCACCGGCGGCCTGTGACGCTGTCCAATCGATGCCGCCCGCTGCCCGGTCAGCGGCGCGACGCCGGAGACGAGCCGGGACCTGGCGCGGGCCTCCGGGCCGGCACCGACGACCGACGACCGACGCGACGGCTCAACTGGCGGCCGGCGCTCGCGTCACGACGACGCGAACGCCAATGCTGGGCCGACGATCGCGATGCGTGATGTCACACAGCCGCCAATGCGGGGCCGACGGTCGGTGTGCGACGTCACACGGTCGCCAGTGCTGGGCCGACGGTCGGTGTGTGACGTCACATGGGCGTCGTGCTGGCCGACGATCGGTTAAGTCATCGCCGATTGGCTCTTGGATGTAAAAGCGAAAGTTGTTTACTGAACGAACCAGTACCAGGCTGAACAGACCGGCATCAGGCTGTACGAACCCAGCGTCAGGCCGAACGGGCCGACATGGGGCCGACCCGACAACCATTTACGCTACGGCACGGACGGGGATACCAGCTACGCGTAGTGATACTCGAGTTTTACATTCCGTCATCCTGACACGAACGGTGTTTCATGTATTTTATACCTATTTTCGCAGAATGTTCTGGAAATAAAATACCCTTCGTCTCCCAAAGCGTAGTGTTATCGATTTAAATTGCGTATTCCCTTCTCCCGCACCACGTAGTGGTACCGACTCAAATTGTGTTTCCCTCATTCCGTACACGGCTGCTGTTTCATTTATTTCAGACTCATTTTCGCAGCGTTCTCCGAAAATAAATTGTCGACTGATTGTCGACGATCAGCTTGGCGCAGGGCCGACGGTCCCCGTGCTGGCGCCGTGCGAGGGGGGAGTGAGTCCGGCGGTCCTGTGTTGGCGCCGTAGGGGGAGGGGGGGGGGGAAGTGAACCCGGCGGTCCTGTGTTGGCGCCGCGCGTGGTGGGGAGTAAGCGGAATCCCGCACTGGGGGGGGGGGGGGGGTCCCCTTTTAGCGCCGTGCGAGGTGGGGCGTAAGCCGGACCCGTGCGGGAAGGCGGAGAGAGCCCAGCGGTCCCCGTGCTGAGGCCGTGCGGGAGGGGGGAGTAAGCCCAGCGGCCCCCGTGCTGACGCCGTGAGGCTGAGCCGTGCAGCAGCGCGTCGCGCGCCGCCGAACCGGTTTTCTCCGGCGCGTCTGACCGCGGCCCAGCTGTCCGCACGTGGCCGGGCGGTGGACGGTGCACCGGTTCGTCCCGGCTCGGGCGATGCGTCACCGGACAGCCGACGGGCATCGACGGGTTAATGTCGTCTCGGTGTTTGCGGATAAATGCCTGAGGGGAGGGACGCACGGTGCTGATATGTTATCCCCTTTTTGCTGAGTACATGGATGTTTTTACTTTATTGAAGAGCATCCCATCCTTCGTATTGTGCGCTAACCAAGTAGGTGGTTGTGTTAGGGCCGTCCATTAATGTGATATGCGTGAAGTGGAAACTTTTTTATGAAAGCTCTTTAAAAAAGAACAAAGTATTTCGGGAGGAGGCGAAGGTTTTGGACGGCGTAGCATCACGGCCAGATGTGTGCAAGTTCTAGAATATGTAAGAACAAATCAAAGCCTCGAACTCGAATGTCGTTGGCTTCCTCTCATGACAAGGAACACGTCTATTATCGGCTTCTCATCTCTAGCTCAATCAGGGGGCCAGGCGGACGTTACATTTTGTGACGTGCGCTTATCGCAAGTTATCAGGGGGCAGGGTTCACCCAGCGTAACTAACATGTAACCAAGCGGAGAGTTAAGATGACCGAAAATGCGTACTTTAATTTACCGGCTTGACTGCCGTCATTTTCAGACAAAAAGTAATACGCCGAAGAGATAACGTTCGTCATGGGTTCATAGCGTCCTTAGCGCGCTTTAAACTGCTCTCAACTCAGCAGCGAACAGCCTGTCCAGTTACTTTAGCGTGTGTATATGGCACACCTCTGTTAGATGGATCAGGACTGAAAGCTCCCAGCCCTACGTTCCTTTGCACTGATATACCTAAGGTCAACAGAGTCAATTATAGGTCAATTAAAGGTCAATTATATTTCCGTCATTCAGACACAAAGCATGTTTCTCCATCTCCAAACCGTCACTCATTCGCCGCAGTAAATGGCGGCTTCTGAGGCCGCCGTGTCGTCTCCGGAGCACGTGCAGTGTGAGTCCTGGGCGGCATGTCAAGGGCGCCAATGCGTGACCTTGCGTATCGCGCGCACCCGGCCTCGGCGAGGGAGTGCTGCTCGCCGTTATGCCCGCCGTCAGGCCCGCCGTCATGCCCGCCGTCATGGCCGCTGTCATGCCTGCCGTCAGGCCCGCCGGTCTCACCGCCGCTGTAATGCGGCGCGGCCTCATGTATTAATACCCACAGTGTGGTCGGAAAAATCGCGGCCCGGAGCCGGTCCGTCGGTCTGTCGGCGGCGGCCCGCCTGGCCTGCGGTCTGCCGAGCCGCGGGGGGTGAGGGGGCCGGCGGCGGCGGACCGCGGCCGCGTGCCGACCGCCGCCGCCGCCTGACCCGTGTCGTGACCGGTCCTGGCGCGCCGTCTGACCCGTGTCGTGACCGGTCCTGACCCGCCGTCTGACCCGTGTCGTGACCGGCCCCGACCTGCCGCATGACCCGTGTCGTGACCGGCCTTGACCTGACCCGCCGCTCTGCCCGCAGGTACGTGGCCTGCGCCGTGACCTCAGCCCGGCCGGCGGCTTCGTGCGGGATCTTGACACCACGTAAGTTGGCGGCGACGGCGGCGGCGGTGATGCCGCTGTTGGCGCCGCTACTGGCATCTGTCGGCAGCCGCGCGAACCCGGTGCTTAACCTCGGGGATGGCTGGCGCTGCGTGGGCTGAACGTGCCGTTCGCAGAACGACACTGGGGCCTGCTGTGGAGTGACCAGGGCCTGCGGCTGTGGCGGTTTTTGGGGACTGAGGCGATAAGCGGTATTGCCGCCAGGCAGTGGGAGGAAGGCTGACTGGCGCGGCGCCAGGTCCGCGACCGGGGGTGAGGCGCTATGCACGCCCCTGCCGCTGATGAATGGGAGGGGCCGGGCTGGACGAGTTTGTATCTTCGTCACTGGGTGTCTGATGTCTTGCTGCCACTTAGATTGTGGGTTGTTTGTTTGCATATTGTCATCGCTGAATTGGGTGCCATCAAACGGTTGCTCACATTATTTATCAGTTGTGCATGCCGGGGCAAAGGTGTGATTTGTAAAGTTAACAGTTTTAACCTGAACCCTGCATTTGCGACGGACCGCAATATATGTGCAGATTTGTATTCTTGTATTGACGTTCGAGGGTCCCTGGCATTACCGACACTGTTTTGTAGAGAATAATCCTCAACACGAACTTGATGATGATGTGAGGCGGATGGTGGAAATGCGTTTTGTTTTGGCTTCTCTCATTCTGTAGAAAACAAGATAATTGGTGTGTGCCGTATCGGGAGGGTATTAATCGTGCACGCAGTAGAATGTCCGCAGCGCGCTGGGGGTGGTCAGCCAGCAGCGTGGCCTGCCTGCAGACGTCTGGCTCGTGCTGCTCGACGCCGTGACCTGCGTGACGCCCCGCCGTTCTGCGGCCGGTGATGTCGTGCCTCCGGCGCTCACGCGCGCCCCCTGCCCCGCAGGACGGAGCCGTACTCGCCGAGGGACTTCCTCAAGGGCGTCAACCCAGTGTCCAAGTGTGGCAAGTAAGTTGGGGTGTCGGCTGCTACCTGATGTTACCGTAACTACAACTGTCACAGATGGCTCTACAACCCGACTCCCGCGAAAGACCAAAAGAGGGGAAAATGGCGGGCACAAGGCGTTGAAATAGCCTGCATCTGTGAACTTCCAGGTTTTCCGACATGCTTTCCTTCCCGTATTTCTGGGTCGTCGAAAATAACATTGGAACTCTGAATTTCCCTGATCATATGCTGTCAAAGCCTTAAGATTCCCTCAAAACTTATGGTCAGCGGTGGTTCTAGAGGGACATAGAGAGGCGCTTTGCTGGAGCTCTGTACATTGTCGTGGGCTGAGAGAGTGGAATAGGTGGCATGCTTCCTTGCTCCATGCATGCTGCAAGGCGAGGCAAGGCACGCTTCAAGGCGAGAAGTGCGGTTTCTTTGAAGTGATCTAAGCAGGTGACGTTCGCGGCCGTGCGTACAAACGGCGTCGCCGTCTGGTCGGACTGGGCTGGAGAGCTAGAGACGACGCCACTCGTAGTTGTCTGGCATGCCACCGATTCAAGATACAAATCACCTGTTAGCGCACTACTTGACGCGGTACTTTGCCTTTTCGAAGGTGACAAGAGGTTCCCAGGTCTGAGCACGGTCCGGTCTTTGGGCAGACTGCGTTTCCATGACCTGCACGCCATGATCTTGGTTGAAAATGCATTACCAGATTCATGCGGCTGCATGGGGTCAGCGAAATTGCGGAAGCCCGCACGAGAGTTGTCTGCAGGTCAGCATGAATAGCCAGTTGACTGTATGATGTTGCATTGTTACGCAGTTGTGTGGTAAGCTTCAGAATTCAGCGATATTCGTTGCGATTGTGTTGTGATCGTCGTAGTTAAGCGATTGTTGATGTGAGTTTGCCAACTTACCCCCATACGCTTCCAACGTCGTCGTAGAGAGCAGCAAGGAGAGGTTGTTTGCAGAGCAGGCAGTTACATCATGTTTCTGTGACCCAATGCCGCAGAAACACGCGGCATGTTTTTTCGGTAAAGACGTGTTTAATATGAACGAATCTCAAGTTACCTCCAGACGTTGTGGTACGCACAATTTTGTGCGCTGTACAGTAAACGTTACTGAAGAAGACGGCAGGCAGGGAGGGAGGGGAGGGAGGGGAGGAAATGGCTACTCCTGATTATTATTTCAGGGGTATTATTTTTAGGATCAGGGAGCAAGGTGCTGAAATTGGCGGACGATATTAAATTGGTATGGCTGTCGAAAATCACCGATTAGATGAACTAAATTCAGCTTAACCTAGATAAAGTTAAAGTTGGGCGTCTCTGTGGCAGATGCCATTCATTTATAATAGGTAAAACTATCCAAATACATCATGTGATGTATTTGGATAGTTTTAGCCGTGAGGGCGTTAGCGATAAACTGGGAGGCCGGGAGTTAGGCTAGGTCGAGGGAGAAGAGGACTCAGGGATTATCATTTCTAGGGATTTGGGGTGAAGGGGGGAGGGGGGGGGGGGGGTGGAAACAATGTGCGGCTGCTAGGAGCAAGGCTCTTCGGATGCTGGGACTTGAACAGGAATGCCCATTGCAAGAGCAGGAATATTGTCAAAAAGTTGCACTTAGCTTATTTCAGACCACTTCTAGAGTATGGTGTACATGCTTGGTCCCTATACTTCCAAAATATAGATAGACAAGAAAGAGTACAGCGAAAAGCAACCAAGATTATAAATGGATTGGCGACTTGGGTTGTAAGGATAGGCTTAGGGCCTTGGATTCGTATTCACTGAAATATCGCAGACTTAGAGGAAGTCTGATAGTGGTATACAAGGCTATGCAAGGAATAGACAAGGCACATCTACGTGGAGCGCTGGAATTTATTCGGAGATATGGAGGGAACCAGTTTCATGTAGAAAAAGGTGGGAATATAACTATAAAGAGGCAGATGTCACTTCGTCAAAGAGTAGTGAACCATCGAAATATGTTGACAAACGAAGTTGTAGGAAGTCCGTCCCTAGCAACATTTAGAAACCGTTCGGATAGGTTCTATCGGTCTTGAAATCTCATTTATGGCCAAATGCATGCAGGTCAGGTGATAGGATTAGCTTTGAGGATGTGTACGGAACCGGAGGTAGGCCGACCTGGATAGGCCCTGGTGGTGCTTGGTTGACCGGATGTCTTTATGTCTGTATGTCTAATACTGCGACATGTTCAAATCCCTGCGACAATCCACAGGCATGTATGAGTAAGGCCACCGCTAGCTTCATCGCACCGTGGCCGGGGTCTCAGTGCTGGTAGCACTATCAAGGCACCTTGCTCGCCGTCATGCACCGACTGTGGCCCAGAACACTTTGTTCTCAGCACCCTCCATGGTGTGAGACATGCCTGCGGACGCTGTTGTCCGTCGAGCCGTCGTGACCTGACCTGCTGCCTGGCTCTCAGCGGTTACTGCCGGCGCACAGTCTCCCTCGGCGCGAGTCTCATCAGCCACGTATATTCATCTATAAATTACTCTATGTACACTGGTGTCGTGCCGAGCGGGCGTGCGAGCTGGGTACGGGTAGAATGGGAGCCCGGCGCGGCGCGCGGACGCAACCGCTCCGCCGGGGCCGGCTGTTTGTCTGTCGGGGTCCGCAATCCTAGTACTTGTGAGCGGGCTGGGCGTGCTGGGCGTAGCCGGTGTAGGTGACCTCGGCGTTGTAGCCGCCGTAGCCGGCCTGGTCGGCGTAGTATTTGACGTGCTGGGTGCGGCCGTCGGGCAGCGCCACGCTGTAATAGCCCTGCGCCGTCTTGCCGTCGTTGTGCTCGCTCTGCCGGAACTTGGGTCCGTAGTGCGGGTCCTCCACGGCGTACTCGAAGGCGTAGGCGCGCGGCGCGCTGTAGCCGCCGTGGCCGTAGCCGCCGCCGTGGCCGCCGCCGTAGCCGCCGCCGTAGCCGTATCCGCCGCCATAGCCGCCGCCGTGGACGCCGCCGCGGCCGCCGCCGTGGCCGGCGCCGTATCCCACGCCGTGGCCGTAGCCCTGCGCGCTGGCCGTGGCGGCGATGGCGGCGAAGAGAGCCAGGAACTGGAACAGCGGCGCGAGCTGAGGCGGGCGGCCGGAGTGGGACGGTCCCGGCGTGGTGGAGCAGGAGGTATAGGCAGCAGTGGCGGAGTGTCCGCTAGGGCGCTGTCAGGAAACGGAGGGCCAGGAACTGGAACAGCGGCGCGAGCTAGGGCGGGCGGCCGGAGTGGGACGGTCCCGGCGTGGAGGGGCAGGAGGTGTGGGCAGCAATGAACGGAGTCCCGCTGGGGCGCTGTCAGGCGCTCGGCTTCCATCGCATTTGGGAGGCGGTGCACCACGGGTATGCCGTCGAAACGAGCCATGGGAGCAAATCATTCAAACATGCATTAGATGTTGGAGTATCTGTCGTTTTTATGATAATCGTATCTGTACCTGCGTTTCAAAGGACAGTGGCATCGAACGGTTCCAACTAGCCTTCAAGTCGTTTTACTGGGACGGTTTTGTTCTGTATGCTGGTGACCGGACCAACGGACGCCGTGGCAGAAATGAATACTTGGCTGTGCTGTAGGCCCTTTCGGAAGCCTGTGTTATGAAATGGTAAAAATGGGGTTGGGAGAGAAGCTTTGCTGTAAGCCTTCTGCATGCTTGTGTTGTAGAACACCAGGCAGTGGAGCGGGGAGAGAAGAAAGAAGTGACTTGTGCCTAGGGTCAGACTAGCTTCTGTAAGGCATAGGCAGGCGTAGAGGGTATATATGATGATGCTTATGCAAGCCGAAAGGGAGTGCGGGCAGCTCTCTGTATGCCGTGGAACCCAGGTCCCGAGACAGTTCCTGGGCTCCACGGGGTCTACTCCTGGAGCTCTGAATCTGGGATCTGAATTTGGGATCTGAAGCTGATTGGGCCGTGATCGGGCCCGCATCGTACCATGATTGTGATTGGGTGCCTCGAGCCGTGTGCTGGCGGCCGGCGTGACCAATGGGCGGACAGCGTGTGGCCACGCCGCCGGTGGCGGCGTTGTGTCGGCCGGGCCCTGCCGTCGGCCCTCTCTCTCTCTCTCACCTTCATGTTGCCGTGCTGCGGTGGAGGCGGTGCTGCGAGTGCTGACCGGTGGCGGCCGGCCGTCTTTATACGGCCGCCGGGGCGCCGCGAAGGTCGCCGGTTACGCACGCGGCGCAATGAGCGTGTCACGCGGCGGCCGGCCGCCTGGCACCGGGGTCACACCTGGCGCGCCGCCACCTCGCCCCCTGAACAGTTAGCCGGGCCGGGGGCGCGCCGGCAGCCTCGGCAGCCCCGGTAGTCCCGCCGGCAGTCCCGGTAGTCCCGCCGGACAGCCCCGCCGGGCAGACCCGGCTGCGGAAGGAGGCCGGTCGCCACCGCTGAATGAGGCGGCGCAGCAGGAAGACGCCGACAGGATATCCGACGTTAAACTTGCTGATACTGGCAGGGGTCAAAAACGGACAGTGGTACTGGCAGAAGTGCGGGTCGAATTCCCAGAGATGTGAGCTGGCTGTCGCGCGCCGGCGTCCGCGCATCTCGGATTCGCTCGTGTCGAGTTGTGAAGATGGGTATCAGATGTCAGCACTGGAGCGGATGGAGACGTGAGACCGGCTGGATGGTGTTGGCGGATGTACCGCTTCCGCTCGTGACCAGGTCTCAGAGCTGTCAGGCCCATCTGGTCCTCAGCAGGCAACCGGCAAACGGCAAATTGTTACCGTTTTCGAAACTGGCTTCGAATACTGTATCTTGTAGCCTGAAGTTAGAAACTGTAAAAGAGGAGATAGAGTGCAAGTGTTACTGCATGGGAAGATGTATCCATTCAGCAAGTGCAAAACATGGCATGGGGTTAGAGGGAAGGTTGGCGAATTTCGTTTGATGCATGGGGTATGTCTTCGAACTTTCTTCAGTTTTCGTCCGTGGTTTTGGTTAGTTTTCCATTGAGGCACCCATGGCGCTGCCTGACAAGCTTAGAGCCTTGTACATACCCAGCCCAAGCCAATGTTTTGAACTAAAAGTTCTTGCAAGGAC